CGTCTGCAGTGGAGCCTCTGTCGGGGGGAACTGGGAGGAGTGAGGGGCAGCCCGGAGCCGCCCCTCGACACAGGGGACACAAGAAGGTCCGGGTCCCGAAGGAAGGGGAGGGAGAGACCGGGGAAGACCAGAGACAAGGACACGGGAAGCCATGCCCCGAAGACGAAGCAAGGAGGGGTGGCCAAGACGGTGGTGCCACAGGAGAGTCTCGTGAGACAAGCGGCGACACGAGCAGGGGGCAGACTCAGGACCAGACCTGGACGCAGCAGCAAACACCTGACCCGACGCAGCTACCTGGCCAGACGCAGGGACAGGAGGAGACGCAGTGGTCAGTGTGTAGAGACTCGACCCCGGCCGACGCGAGAACGTGGCCAGGTGTCGGCCTGTGCGGGCGTCCGAGCAGTGGGTCACCCGCTGACTCGCAGGAGTAAACTGGTGAACCCCCGCATCCTGGAGGTCAGCACCACTCACCAAGTTCGTCGAGAACGAGGGGAGGTACAGACCAGACAAGGTGCCCGAGGGGGCAGCCGGACACGGGAGGACAGTGGAGAAGTGAGAGAGGACTGGACCCCCAGTGGGGTCAGCCAGGGAGACTGCAACCGGCCGGCCAAGCGGCGTGAGTGTGGTGCGGTCTCGAAAGAAGGAGCGAGAAGCCCCTGAGTCAAGCGTGAAGGTGAGGGAGGCCGAAGCCGACGCAGTACCTGAGAGCGCAGCCTCACCAGTACCTGAGAGTGCAGACGCACTGGCACCTAGAGCAGCAGCCTCAGAAGTACCTAGCGTAGCAGTACCAATGCCCGGGTCGGGCGGGAAACACCGGTAACAGTCACCCTCCTCACTAATAGTCACAGCATACATGGCAGCAAGGATAGCATCAAAGTCAAGATCAAAGATAGCTACGCCAGCCCTAGACAGCTCTCCCCAACGGGGAATCTCACTGGCCTCGGGGAACTGCTGACGCCAAGCGTCCGTCAGGCGGCCAAAGCAGTGCTGAGTGGGGTGCGCACCCCCACACTGCTCACCCGCGCGGTCACCGGAACGAAGGACGTAGGTGCACGGACCAAAACCCCCACCCCGCTGACGCTGCGTGTACCACTCACGGAGCTGCTGGGGCGGGGGGATGTCCCGCGAACGCTGCTGCTGCTGCTGCTGCTGCTGCTGCTGACGCTGGCCACCACTAGGGCCGCTACGCTGCGGGGCACCACCCCGACCAGCTCCACCCCCTCCGCCACCGCTGCCTCCACCTCCACCACCACCGCTGCCTCCGCTCCCACCGATGCCGCCACCACCGCCTCCTCCTCCGCTGCTGCCACCGCCACCACCGCCCCCGCCACCACTCCCACCGTCACCCCCACTCCCTCCTCCGCCTCCACCGCCTCCTCTACCGCCCCCGCCAGCTCCACCCGCGCCCTTGCCCCCCTTGCCCCTGCCAGGGCGGCGTCTCCCGCTAGGGGCAGACGCCGCGCAGACCGACTCAAGACCAAGCAGGTCGGCAGCAGCAGCAGAGGCAACAGAGGGCAGCAGGGGGGAAGGAGAGCACCCCTCAAAGATGGGGGTGCGAGGGTCACCACGAGAGGCTCCTACAGCGACGATGCTCTTCTCCGCCGCCAGGAGGGACTTCTCGAGGAGGTCGACAGTGAGAGTGGTGGGACAGACCGAGAGGTAGTGGTCCCTGACTACGCGAAGGGAGTCAGGGAGGCGTGTGACTATGTAATAGAGAGTGATGTACATGGGGGGGGGGTTCTTGGCGCAGAACTCAGCAGGAAGGGCGGCGCGGTAGCGAGTGTCACTAGTGCGGAGGTGCGTAATGAGGTCAGCGACAGTGGGAAAGGCAGTAAGGTCAGGAAAGAGGTACGGTAGCATGAGGCGGCTAAGGGCAGCAGTGGCAGGGGAAGAGTAGCGCGCAACTACAGCGTCGTACAAGGTCTGAGCACTCTTGTACTGACTAAAGTGCGCGCGCTCAGTGGTAGGCAGGTGGCGACGCACAGCAAGACGTGCAGCAGCATCGCGGGTGGCCCACTGAGAGCGAACAGTGGGGTCAGCATCAGTAGCAGGGGCAGGAGAGGCGCCAGAGGTGAGGTCAAAGAGGGAAAGACCGTCCGCCCTATCGCACTGTAAGAACAGCTGCAGGTCGTCGACCCAGACCTCAAAGTCAATGGCTCGACCCTCAGCGTCAAAAGCGAGGACACTAGGGGTAGCCATGACGACGACAGACGAGCAGTGCAAGCAGTAGGGGAAGGGCACGCAGTGACAGTGGGGCTGTGCTCACCGGACAGGGCAGGTCGGGCGGCTCGGCAGTAGGGCGGCTCGGCTGCTCAGCGGCTCGGCGGCAGGGCGGCTCGGCTGCTGGGCGGCTCGGCTGTTGGGTGGCTCGGCGGCAGTGCGGCTCGGCTCCCGGGCGGCTCGGCGGCAGGGCGGCTCGGCGGCAGGGCGGCTCGGCTCCCGGGCGGCTCGGCGGCAGGGCGGCTCGGCTCCCGGCGGTTCTGCTGCTAGGCGGCTCCCGCAGGTAGGGCGGCGGTAGGGCCGCAGGTAGGGCGGCGGGCGGGCCGTAGGTAGGGCGGCGGGGGGGGCCGTAGGTAGGGCAGCGGGCTGGCCGCAGGTAGGGTGGCGGGCGGGCCGCAGGCAGGGCGGCGGTAGGGCCGCAAGTAGGGCGGCGGGCTGGCCGCAGGTAGGGTGGCGGGCGGGCCGCAGGCAGGGCGGCGGTAGGGCCGCAAGTAGGGCGGCGGGCAGGCCGCAGTTAGGGCGGCGGGCGGGCCGCAGGTAGGGCGGCTGGCGGGCCGCAGGTAGGGCAGCGGGCGGGCCGCGACGTGAGGGCGGCGGGGCCGCTGTAGTGGGGCGGCGGGGCCGCTTAGCAGAGGGCGGCGGGGCCGCGTGAGCAGGGCGGCGGGGCCGCGTGAGCAGGGCGGCGGGGCCGCGAAGCAGAGGGCGGGCGGGCCGCGACGTGAGGGCGGCTGGGCCGCTGTAGCAGGGCGGCGGGGCCGCTTAGCAGAGGGCGGCGGGGCCGCGTGAGCAGGGCGGCGGGGCCGCGAAGCAGAGGGCGGCTGGGCCGCGCGAGCAGGGCGGCGGGGCCGCGAAGGAAGGGCGGCGGGGCCGCGTTAGTAGGGCGGCGAGGCCGCGAAGGAAGGGCGGCAGGGCCGCTTGAGCAGAGTGGCGGGGCCGCGAAGGGAGGGCGGCGGGGCCGCGAGGGGCGACACGGAGGGTCGCTAAAAAAAAGGAAAAACGCGCCTCGGGGCGCGCTTCGGTGGGCCCTAGAAGCAGTCCCTAGGAGGGGACCTGCTCTGATTCCATGTTAATGAAGAACGAGAATGTTTGAACTATGAATGAAGTGAGTACATATGGGAAACCCTATTTGGGTTGTACCCCTTATGGGATACCCCACTATAGCCTACACAACAGCATAAGCTATATAATGTTCTGACAGTAATGGTTATGGTTATGCTAATGGTAATGCTAATGGTAATGGTAATGCTAATGCTAATGGTAATGGTAACGCCAATGGTAACAAGATCTGTTACCTTATTTGACTTCAGTCTCTTCTGCTTGACCTCGGTCTGTTCGTTACTATTGGTTGATATCCACGCGACGCGCTTATAACGTGGGAGCAACAGGCTGGGGAAACAACCTCGGGTGCAGCGTTTCCATCCGGCGCAAGGCAAATCCGCGTGCACTGGTTGAGCATCAATTGTATCCGTTGCGAGGATATCCGCTGCGAGGATATCCGCTGGAGGATATCCGCGCGAGGATACCCGCGCGAGGATATACGCTACAAGGATATTCGCTCGAGGATATACGCTCGAGGATATCCTCGCGAGAATGTCCGCGCGAGAATATCCGCGCGAGGATATCCGCCCGAGGATATCCGCTCGAGGATGTCCGCGCGAGGATATCCGCGAGAGGATATCCATTTTTTTGTGCGGATATCCAAAATTTGAATTCATGTCGCGGATATCCCAGTTTTGGATATCCCACCCTTTTCCAGGGCCTATCACTCGGAACACGTTGGATTACTATCATTTGGAGCAATTGAGATAACCCCACAGCGTAGCCCTAGGGAGGGACAATGTACCTCCTCCACCTACAGTATTACAGGGCCAATCACGCGGATAACGTTGGGTTACCTATCATTTGCGGCAATCTTGTTTCGCGAAGTGCTTGCACTTGGACAGAACCTGGCTATAGTTTTCCGCTTCCCCGCGCACATCACTTCCGCTTGCTTCCACCCCGACATTCCCGCACGTTGAGTAAGTTATGCAGAGCACAGCACAGGATCGACCAACCAGTAGAGTCACTCGCGAGCAGCTAACTTAGCTGGTGGGGTCGTATAGTGGCGATCACGTGCAGGTGCACGTCGTAGCGCGTCGATGCGAAGGGTGTTGCCGATCCGCCGTCTCTGTGGAAGGGACATCATAGTCTCGTTATCGCAAATCTGGCCGGCAAAGTTATTAGCTATCGTCGCAGGGGTGCCTGCGACTTCGTCAGCTGAACGAATCTGTCGCTTGCCTTCGCAATAGTAGCATCTGACCTTTCCGCGTCGCCGGCGAAGCCAGCGCAGTCGCACATTCCGCACGCGACATCGTTTGCGACAGTCGCCAGTGTAACAAGCGGTGCTGCGTCCATCGACGAGCAATACCTAGAGGTAGCGCGCCAGTGCAGGTGCATGCGGTGTGGGTTCATCCGCAGGAGATCGATGTTGCCTCAAAGCTTCGTCTAAAGTCAAGATCTCCGTGGTGTAGTATATCGTGTATTTCGCGTAGAAGCTCGCTCCCGCATCTCATGAACCCTAGAGTTACCTTATGATTGTCGTAGTCGTTCGTTATCATTTTTCTCTTTTTCGTCTCTTCACTCACATGCCCGCTGTCGCTCCATTCAGTCGCAAGCTCGCCGCTGGCTGTCGCAGACTTTATCTCGAGCTCTTCCCGCCGATAAGCCGTTGAGCGATCTGCTAGGAGATGGCGAAATACTGTAAGTTCTTGATGCTCTAGTTATCGATGCCTCTGACTCCGATGCCTCTGCTCCTTGATACCTCTTATCGTCGATTCCGTCTCCATTCCGTCTCTTCTCCCTTTACTCATTCCGTCGACGTTCCGTCTCCTCTCTCCCCTTACTCGTTCCATCTTCATTCCGTCTCCTCTCTTCCGTACTCATTCCGCCTTTCCCCTCTCCCTTCTCCCCCTCTCTCCCCCCACTCCTCTCACCCACCGTTTCCCTCCCGCCTACTGATCGCGCCGGACGCTCCTCCCTCCGAGTTTGAAACGTCTCATAAGTTTCCGCTCCCCCCCCCCCCCCCCATACAGCCTCGAGCTCGCCTGTTTGGTGCAGCAGCTGCTTGCGCCCGACGTGCCCCCCTCCGCCAGCGTCCCCCTGACGGCGGACTTTGACTCCGCCCCGCCTGCAACCCCCCCCCCCCGCGCCTGCTCCCGCCGCTGCCACTGCTGATAGCGGTGGTGGTTCCGCTGCCGCTGCTGCTGCTGATGGTGCTGGGATTAGTGCTGCTGCTAACGGTGTAATTGATGGTAGTGCTGGGGTTAGTGCTGGTGGTGCAGCGGCTGGTGGTGACGTCAGCAGCAGCAGTGCAAACGGCAGCTGTTCCAGCGTGGACAGCAGCGGGCGGGTCGCGCTTTAAGCGCGCGTACTGGCATGCATGCACCAACGTGGAACGCTTACTCAAGGTGAGAGAGCCGCTGGTGTGGGCGTTCAGAAGATGCCAGGGCGTAGCCGCCACTCCTGGTGTGGCTGTGGTGGGTAGAGTTATGAGGCGCGCTCAACAGTAAGGTCGCGTACCTTACTCATGCGTGCGGAGAGATGCCAAAGCCAAATCGTATCCACGCGACTCCTTTCCTCCATGTCCCTCCCTTTCCCCTCTCCTCTCTCCCACACCACCCCTTCTCCCCAGGTGTGTCGGCGGGTGGGTCTGAGGGACGTACCGCTCTTCACCTCGACGGACCTCGTGGATGGCAGGGACGCTCAGCGTTCCCCCCATGTCCCCCTTGCCCCCCTCCTCTCCCTGTTTCCTCTCGCTGCGCATACCCGTCTCCCCAGGTGTGTCGGCGGGTGGGTCTGAGGGACGTATCGCTCTTCACCTCGCCGGACCTCGTGGATGGCAGGGACGTTCGCGCGTTGTGCCTGCGCACGCCTGCCTCGTGGATGGCAGGGGCATTCGGGACTTCGACGGCATTATGGTGACCGCCTCTTCTGCTGCTCGCCAGAGACTCATCTCCTCCTCTTCTTTCACCTCCTCCTTCTGAACCAACCCTTGTGCTCAGCCGTCATCTCTCGCCCCTTCTCTGGCTGAATTGACACATGCAGCATCCATAACCCTTCCCTCCACCACTCCTGCTGCTGTTTCTGCTGCCGCTGCTGCCGCTGCTGTAGCTGCTGACGCCGGTGCTGGCAACATGAGTGGACCATTGTTGAGTCTGGACTATGTTGACTTAGGCACAGAAGGAGGAGAAGGGATGGCAGGAGCAGCACTGGAAGGCCCTTGTGGTTCCACCACTGCACCTCTCATCAAGTCCGAGCAGAAGCAGCAGCTGCAGCAGAAGCATCAATAGCAGCAACAGCAGAAGCAGTTTACTCAAGCAACTGCCCCCGAGTCGTTGGATTCAGAGCCGCCAGACGCAGGCGCTGTCAACCACCAACAGAGAAGCAGGTGTTTCTTCAGGTCGGGAGAGCAGCGCGCAGGGGAACAGTGCCACAGGTGCTGCAGCTGTGACAGGAGCTGCAGAAGCAGCAGGTTTAGCAGGTTTAGCTTCGCATTCACATGCAGATGATGCCCAGAATGCACCTGCATGGTTTGGACTGAAGGAGGAGGACAGGCGGAGCATTGCGGGTTCTGCACCTGCTGGCCTGCCATCGCTCCGCGTGCATGGGAGGGCCGTGGGGGGATGCGCGGGAGGAGCAAGCACCTACAGAGCGTGCAGCTGTAGCAGGTGTGGCAGTGGGTGGTAGTGCAAGGGTGCAATCGCGTGATTGGAGAGGCGAGAGGGCGGATGCGTGGCATGAGAGCCACAAGCAGCGGCATGTGTACCATCGTCAGAGCCAGCACGCAAATGAATGCGACCATGTGCGGGGGGCACGTCGACCACTGTACAAACACTTCATTTTAGTACGACACGGCATGAGCCATGAAAACCGTTCTTTTCATTCACCGTTGTACTGCCGCGCCGCCTCGAGGTAAAGCATATCCGCTTCTTCAAAAACTTCTCATCGGCCTCACCCGACGCCAGCTGCCCGTTTGTTGGACGTGGCGACGGCGAGGGCGCGGCAGGTGGGAAGTGAGGACTTGGTCCAAGTGAGCTCTTGGTTCAAGTGACGACTTGCGGGCTCGCGGGCTTGCGGGCTTGGAAATATCCGAACTCTTGACCTTCAAGCTCGAAGACTGCTTATCTATCCCACTGAGCTACGGGTGCCTTTAATAAAAAACGATATCCCCAGTTCTCTGTTCTATGTTCCAACATAAATAGCTTCAGTGTAAAGAGAGAATCACCATCATAAGAACAATAGTTTGTATACACAGACGCATGCAAGCCCTCTACTTGGTCTGGACTCTAGAGTTTAGGCAGTGCTCTGTGTGCGCGATTGTGCTCAATGGTAGGAAGCAGCCCGTTTTTTAGCACAGCGGCGTGGGCGGCACGGAACCCAACGCCATACACTGGGGAGGCATCAGTGGCAATGGCGTGCAGGCAGAGCAGCCCGTGACTTCATCTGCTGCCAGCAGTCAACCTATGCTCTGGGCAGTGTTCTGTATGCGCGAATGTGCTCGAGAGTAGGCAGCAGCCCGTGCTTGAGCACAGCAGCATGGGCGGCACGGAACCCGTCGCCGTACACGGGGGAAGCATCAGTGGCAATGGAGTGCAGGCAGAACGCTGCAAAGCGCTGCTGGAAGCTGCTGTGCGCCTCGTGAGCCAGAGGAGCAGCGGAGGAGGCTTGTTGTGATGGAGCTTGTGGGGACGGGGCTTGCGATGGGGCATGTGGGGTTGGAGGGGCTTGGGTTTGCAGCCATAGATACGCCATGACCTGGCACATACCCTCCTCTAGCTCTGGAGGCAGATGGCGGAAGCCCCCTGCAGGTGGGGAATGACAGGGGAGAGAGGAGAAACAGAAAAAAATCACTTTTGAGGCGACTCAAGAGTCAACGGTACGCCATGACCTGGCACATGGCCTCCTCTAGCTCTGGGGGCAGATGGCGAAAGCCTCCTACACATGGCACGGGATGGGAGATGGGCACGAGAAGGCGAGTTCTGAGACGTTTCACAGCTTTGTAGGAAGGGGTGAAAGGCCCCAGCAGTGGCAAGCAGGGAATGGGAGACAAGTGGATGCAGTGGGGGGATTGCAAGGAAACATATACGAATTGTGGGAATGCATCAGGGGGAGGGGACAGAATGGAGGAAGGCATGGGCGGGAAAGGGGGCATACCGTCGAGCTTGAACCATGCGTGCATGAGCTCGTGTGCGAGGATAGACGCCGTCAACACTCTGATGGGGATAGGGGTAGAGGGGCAGATGACAGGCACAGCAGAGAAAAGCAGCAGGCAAGGGTGGGGTGGAGGGGCAGACGCAGGCGGAGGGATGTGTATTGTACCCCATGCACCATGCCATGCACACCTGGGCAGCCCATAGAGCACGAGGATGGCGGTGACAGCGCAGTGGCGAGATACTGTCATGGTCTGCTCTGCTGCCCACAGGCAGGTGCCGTCACATGCAGATATTATCATGTGCAGCACAGCACACCAGGCATGCCATGCGCATCAGCCCCACACACATGCCCACCTGGGCAGCCCATAGAGCACGAGGATGGCGGTGACAGCGCAGTGGCGGGACACTGTCATGGTCTGCTGCCCCACTGCCGAGAAGGAGGAGGCGTGGGTGAGCGAGCCGGGCAGCCGCACCACCTGAATGGACCGGGAGTGGGAGGTGAAGGGAGGGGGAGGGAGGGCGGGGGGCGAGGGCGAGACGTGTGTGAGTATGCTGTCATGGTGGTGACAGCGCAGTGGCGAGACACCGTCATGGTCTGCTGGCCCACTGCCGAGAAGGAGGAGGCGTGGGTGAGCGAGCCGGGCAGCCGCACCACCTGAATGCAGCAGGGTGGGTGGGGGAATCAGTGGGAAGAGGAGTTTTGATACGCATCAATGACAGGCAAGGGGGAAACGGAGGAGGACTTATGAGACGTCTCAAAAGTCGCGGAGGAATCAGCGGACAGAGGAGTTTTGATACGCGTCAATCACAGGCAAGGGGGAAACGGAGGACAGACTATCCAGTTTGCTCTACAGAACCGGGTGTGGGTGGGGAAACGAGGAGAATGGATGGAAGGGGTTGCATTGTGAGAGTGCTGGGCAAAGGGTGGGGAAGGAAGAAGCTATGAAGCATGTAGGCTATGTTTCAAGGTCGCAAGCATGGGTGATAGAATGAGGCGTTTTCAGGAAAGGATAGAGTGACTCACCATCTGAATGGTCTGCTCCTCTGACAGGCAGAGACCTCTCGTGAGCGACCCATGCTCGAGGCCCTGATCGGGGTGGTGTTGGTGGTGGTGGTGGTGGTGGTGGGGTTGAGACGGAAGAAGGAGAGGGAAGGAGGGGAGGAGAGGAGGCAGGAATGATGCGGCAGGGTGAGGTGAGGTGCACTGGGAGGTATAGGACAAGCAACACCGGAATCTGCTACTTCATTATAATTCCCTGTAGTGCCAGAGAGCAATCACCCACCTGAGCATCTCAACCCTGATAAGCATGGACCATCACCCCCATCTTCACCTCCCTCTCCCCCACTCACCTCCCTCTCCGCCCTCTGTGCATCGTTCAGCGCCTGCTGCTCCACTGCCAGCATTGGAATGTGCTGCTTCACTGGCATCCCCTGTTGTGCCAGAAAGCAGATATTCACCTGTGTATGTCAAACCCAAGGGTAATGAGCCCATCACACACACCCACTCACCTCTCTTTCAGCCCTCTGAGCATCGTTCAGCGCCTGCTGCTCCACTGCCAGCACTGGAATGTGCTGCCTCACTGCCATCCCCAGCTGAGCAAAGAAGGCGCTAACAGACGAAAAAAGCGGGCGGCAGTCTGCGGAGTCTAGCACGGCGGAGTCAACGCAGTCAAGGCAGAGATGCCGCCCGTCTGGCAGGTCAATAAATGGCGGGGAACCGCGAGACTGCAAGCCAAAGGGAGAGGCACGGAAGCAGGACGAGGGGAAAGGACGAGGGAGTGCATATTTTGGTTGACTTAAAAGTCGGTTGTCTGGCAGGTCAATGAAGGGGGGGGAGAGTGCGGGAAAGAAGGCAAAGGGAAGCAGGGAAGCAGGACGAAGAGAAGGGACAAGACAAGGGAGCGCACTGGAGCAGGCTTACAAGTTTTCTAAGACACAACTGAGGGGTGCAAGGAGCCTGATGTTAGGGGGCTGAAGTGATTTACAGAAAACATACATGGGCAGGTGGAACAGGGGCAGGTGGCACTGGGGCAGGCGGAACAAAAGCAGCAACTCCGCAGTATCAGATCAGCGCCACACCCTCACCTGCAGGCGACAGCAGGAGGTGCAGGAGGGCGTGCTGTCGGTCATGTGGGCGGGTCGATGCAACCAGTGCAGCTCTTGTCACCCTCTCTCACACTCTCTCACACACAAAGCACAGCTGAGAGCAACCCACACTATATCAGCCTCAACGTATCGCCCTCACCTGCTGCAGGCGGGAGCAGGAGGTGCAGGAGGGCGTGCTGTCTGTCATGTGGGCGGGGCACCACTTGTCGCCCCAGAAGGGGTGCGAGCGGAAGTTGATCATGCCTGCTGGGTTGGGGCGGATCTGGAGGGGCGGGTTGAAAGAGAGAAGGAGGGGAAGAGGTTGGGGGGAGGGGAAGGATGGGATACATACGGTATCGAGAGCTGAGAATAAAGAGGGCTTTTGTGTGGGTTCTGATAGGCGGAATGGAAGCACGCATTGCAAGGTGGCTCTAAAGTGGCTGCCCCCTCCATGTACTTGGTAACCAGGAAGCAAGAGGTGGGAGCATGTACTCACAAAGTCCTGGCAGACGGCACACTTGGGGTGGAAGAGCTGTCGGTGGCATGCTGCATGGTAGGGCTTGCCGTCCTTGATGTTGAACTGGTGGAGGGGGGAGAGAAGAGCGAGGAGAGACGACACAAGGTGTGATGGTGTGATGGCATGAAGGCATGCTGCATGGTAGGGCTTGCCTTGGGGGTGGATTGCGAGAAGAAGGGAGGAGGCATCAACACAAGGGAGGGAGCGATGATGACATGATGGCATGATGCCATGGCGTGCTGCCGTTTCACGGAGAGGCATGTGTGTACCAGCCAACGCAGAATGCATCTACACCTCATCTCCCACAACACACACGGCTAAATCCTTTTGCGACATACTTGTTTCTCTGAGATGGTTTGCTTGCACGCCTGGCAAGTGAAGCAGTGCGGGTGCCACAACCCCCCCATGGATGAGAGAGCAGGGGAGAAGCCCAGCGGTGCACCGCACCCCGCACACACGGGCGGCACCAGCGCCGACCACACAGGGTGCTGCTGCCCTCCCCCCACCACCCTCCCTGCTCCCGCGCCGCCCACCCCACCGCTGCGCGCGGTGCTGCTGCTGTTGTTGCTGCCAGCAGGAGGTGCTGCAGGCGAATGCGCGAGCCCGCCCTGGGGAAACCGGGAGGGATGAGTGAGGGGAGGGAAAGGGCCGTTGACGGATAAGGGTGGAGAAGGTCAGTGTGGGCCCGAGGGGTTATCACTCCTCCCGTTGCATCTCTCATCCTCCTCACATCATGGGCTCCACAATTCATCTCCTTCCAGTTTCACATCCCGCGTTTCCCTCGCCTCCTCCAGCCTCACCTCCCCCAGCCTCACCTCCCCCAGCCTCACCTCCCCCAGCCTCACCTCCCCCAGCCTCACCTCCCCCAGCCTCACCTCCCCCAGCCTCACCTCCTCAAGGCTCAGCTCCTGCTGCAGCAACCGCGCTATCTCCTCATCGTTGCTCGTGTCTGGCGCCCCCCCACCACCTCCACCCCCACCTCGCCCCACTCCGCCTGGCCCTGCGCTGCCTTGTCCCGCTCCACCTATGCCCACATGCCTCGAACGGTCTGCACCAGCTGCTGCTCCTCCTGCTCCTGCTCCAGTTCCTGCTCTTGCTGCTGCTGTGGCTGACCAGTGACGATTCATGGCTTCTCGTTGCGCTGCTGCCGCAGCTGCTGCTGCTGCTGCTGCTGGTGTCCTGTCAACACCCTGGCCTCCTCTAATGGCTGGGGAAGCACGGCAAGAGGCGGGGGGAGGAAAGGGATCAGCACATGAAGGCAATCCGTCTGTGACATGCGTAGCCAGTGCCAGAGACAGGTCGACACGCAAACCAGCACAGCACATGGGTTGACACACACGGATGGACGCACATACACTTACCTTGAGCTGCCTCCTCTGCCTCTCGTCTCGAAATCTCCAATGCCAGTTGAAGAGCCCTGTCCTCCTCCTCCGCCTCCCCACCCCTCTGAACCGCCTCCCCCCTCCCCACTGCCTCCCCTCTCCCTGTGTTCCCGCCCCATCCCGCGCCCTGCTGCTCTGGTTGACTGCTCCTTCCCGGGGGCCAGCCCCCTTGCTGCTGGTGCCTCGGAGCCTGCTGCTGGTGATTCGGCACTTGATGCTGCTGGTTCGGAACCTGCTGCTGGTGGTTCGGCACTTGATGCTGCTGGGTTGGTGGCACCCATGGCTGGTGGTTCGGCACATGCTGCTGCTCCTGGTAAACCATAGAAAGGAAGCATTGAGGGAGAAGCGAGATGGACAGAGCAGAGTGGAGATAAGAGGCGATTGAAGAGACGAGAGGACGTTTAGGTAGCAGAAGAACACACGGTGAATGAGTGAGGCATGTGAGACGGCATCGAGGCAGAGAGAGACGAAGGGGCAAGAGCGGGGAAGAGCGAGAGAAGGGAAGTGTGCGTGTGGCACACCTGCAGGGAGAGCCTAAGCACTTCTTCCAACTGCCGCTGCTCCTCCTCCCTCAACTGCTGCTCCCTCTGCTGCTGCTGCTGCTGCATCGCTGGGTGGTGACCGGCCAACGCTGGGGGCTGCGAGGGAGATGAGGATGAAGAAACGAAGCAATGGACGATGAGGAGATATGGGGTGGTACGACGAGTACGTTCTTACTGATTCACGTTCATCGCCTTATTACCAAACGCTCAGCACCTTATCACTCAACGTTGTACGAAATAGGTTAGTCACACGGAAGCGTACCCCTTGGTGTAGAGACTGCGTCGAGCTGCTGCTGCGATTAGGCTCGTCGGAACCGCCGGCTACAGCCCTGCATGGACCAGGCGTGAGAAGTGGCAGGCTCAGGCAAGGAAGAATATACTACCTCCTCGCATTATTGTTCTACGAAGGGATAACTTCAACAGAACCTTCCAATAAACGTGCTACTCGAAAAAGACGCATCGGCAGCAGCAGCAACAGCGGCTAGACGTGGTGGACAGCGAACTAACGATGGACGATACTAATCCTAGCGGAAACCGATGACGCTAGCAAATTCAGTTGAAGCAATTTGCGAAAATGGTTACCTGCGAAACCATGACGTCACGTTCCCGACGACATTATCCATTCAGTCCCGGAATTGATATAGAACCTAGAATCACTGCTGCTTAAAGCGGTAAGCGGCTAGCGGCTACGACTGTTGTGGCAAACTGGAGCTGGACGCCCTATGATTGGTACAATTCTTGCCGTCGCACGCTATAAAAGCAATCTTATTCTGAGACGTCTCAAAACAATCTGAATTCAGCTGGAGCTGGGACGACCTATGATTACGATCCTTGCCGTCGCATGCTAGTATATCAAGTAAGCCAAGGGGCCACCCGCATGCGCTCCAAGTCGTAAGTTCTTACACTCCGCCGCCATCCTTTCCCTTCGACCGTTTGCTGACTAGAATGCCCCAGGCTGACCTCTAGTTGGACACGGCGTCGCAGAAGCCTGAGAAGGAAAACTGGAATCTGCTGCTTGGAAGCTGGAAGGTATGCTGCAAATGTTCTGGAACCGGAGGTGTTCGGCAATCTCGAGGACGGTGTCAGAAGCTTCACCCTCGCAGAACAAGGGTAATGTCGGTGCGCTTCGGTTGTGTTGCATCGTGAATTTTTTTGTAAGGTGCCAAAAGCAAAGCGTAATAAATTTACAAACAAACCTGGTTGTGCAGAAGTGGATATCGTAACAGGAAGGGAACTCACCAAGCTGAGACCAGGGCAAATTTTATAGTGTAAATCACCCTGATACCCTGATTATCAGGGTGGTTTTTGGTAGTCACACTGATGGCCTAGGGTAATTTTTTCGGGAGCTAGAATTTTCCTGATATGCCAGGGTTTACATTTAATGCACACTGATGACTCAGGGTTACCGATTGCATAACGAGTTTTACCCTGAAGCGAGTACCATACCCCCCGCACCCCCCCCCCCCCCCCCCCCCCCCCAAAAGCCGGAAGCCCAAATTGCACAAGTTTTAAAAGGATGACGCGAGGGGTTTTTTCTGGCTTGGGTTTTGGCGATTGATTTCGATTTCGGGCATTTCGTTTTTTTCGCCAGACCCATCCAGCCCACGTATTTCGCCCTGGGGGTTGTGTCAGCACCCGAAAGTCCCAAATTGCAGGTGCGCTACTTTTCAAAGCTTGCACACTGCACTTCGTCAAGTTTTAAAAGCATGACCACGCGCCTCGCAATTTGGGACTCGGGCTTTAACCCTCTCCCCCCCAATTCGCCCTCGCACTACTGTCCCGCTTAAAACCGGGGTGCACATTCAGCTGAATGTGCATCAAAGGTTATCCCTTGACTGAGTGGGTTACGAGGTGTGCTTTCAACCCCTTCAAGTCGAAATTCGTTTCCCCCCTCCCCCGCAATTTCGTTTCCCCACGCCCCCGCAATTTCATTTCCCCCTCCCCGTCGAAATTCGTTTCCCCCCTCCCCCGCAATTTTGTTTCCCCCCTCCCCCGCAATTTCGTTTCCCCCCCCCTCCCGCCAATCTGTTTCATCCCTCCCGCCATTCGGTTTCACCCACTCCCGCCATTTCACCCCCTCCCGCCACCTACGAAATGCCCGAAGCTCTAGCGGAATCATTTTTTTGTCGCCCCTCGTGAGCCAATCACTGTTTTTCTCCAAACCCCCTTCCCAACATCTCAAGCCGAACCGCGTTGAATGTGCACCCTGGTTTTAATAACACGTATTAAAGAGGAGCTATTGGAATACGCATGTTGGAGTGGCCCGGTCGGTAGATTGGGACTTCGAAAGGAGACTCGGGATCGAGTCTTGTAGCTCGCGTTTTTGTTCAGAACTTCAGTAGAAACACTTCATCAGGGTATTGAAAATTGTTACACTGTGGCATAAGGGTATTTTTTTTTTGTAACTACGGAAAACCCTGATGGAAAAGAATTTTCCCAAGGGGTCACACTGATAATCAGGTTTTTGCAAAGGTGCAGGACTGATGATAAGGGTTGCTTAAAACCAAAAATTAGCCCTGGCTGAGACACACTGTCTGTTGATCCAGATCTCGGCGGTTTTTATTACACGTGGGAGAGCTGGATGGATGCTTAGTACTAGCATGCTCTGACATGCCAGAAGTGACATTCCCTGATTATTGCTATCCAAAATTTCTGATGCTGGGCTCTTATTGTTAACATCAAGGCCCTAACATAGTACACAGCACCAGACCTACGGTAACTCGGTAAAAGCAAAAATAGAAGACTCCTCGGTCTTCAACTCTTCGCAGCTCTATTCCGCCTTGACTTTCCTTTGCGCCGGTGCCTTGTGCATCTCCCTTCCAATCTTCTTGAGCACCTCGTCTATCAAGATGACCGGGAGCGACGTCACGAGCACGAGCAGCCACTCGTTGAAGCTCAGCGGCACGATCCCAAACACGTTAGCGAGGAACGGCACATAGAGGATGAGAAAGTGCAGCGAGAAGGAGAGGGTCATCGCCACGAGCAGCCAGGGATTCACCCACGGAGGCATCCTCGTCAGACTCACATCCTCTGAGAGCGCATTGAGTGAGTTAAACATTTCAATCGCCACCAGCACCGAGAGCGAGAGCGTCGTCGCCTTCACCTTCCCCGACTCGAAATAGTCACACGGGTCGTGGTTAAAAGAGAAGGTCTGCGCGCCTGCGGTGAAGGGCGAGGCGGAGAAGTCTTGCCAGGAGCGGCACTGGTCCCAGTGGCGCAGCTGGTGTAAGGAGACGAGCGAGTGGCCGTCCTGGGAGAGGTCGATGCCGAGGAAGGAGGAGTGCGTGTACCAGATGGCGAACACCCCCACTGTTGCGATTCCCACATACATGCCTATGATCTGCATGGCAGGGAGTGAAGAGGGGGAGCATGGACGAGGGAGTGGGGAGAGGCGATGCAGAGGACAATGTTGCACACACTTGCTACTTACCTTACAGCAAAATGCATGCACCACACATCGCAGCAGCCCAAACCCACTACCGCCCCCTACCATCCACCCACCACATACGTACCACAGCAGCACAACCCCATCACCACCACCCCCCCCCCTCCCATGAACTCACCACGTATCGCAGCAGCACCCAGGCAGTGACCAGAGCATCATCGCTCCTCCGGGGCTGCTGCCTCATCACATTCTCATCGGGGGGGTTGAAGCCCAGCGCTGTGGCAGGCGGTCCGTCCGTGACGAGGTTGACCCACAGCAGCTGCACGGGAATGAGGTTCTCGGGCAGGCCGAGGGCGGCGGTGAGGAAGATAGATGCCACCTCGCCCATGTTGCTCGATATCATGTACCTGTGACAACAGAGGGAGGGAACGCAACAGGGAAGAGTGCGCATGAGATGGTGTGTTCCAAGCCACAGCAGCTGCACCGGGATGCAGATAAGGGGCAGTGTGTTGGGGAGACACTGCCATAACCTACATGGAAAAATTGAGGCAGTGTGATAAGGCTAAATGTGCACAGCAATTCACACGAATGACCTCACCAGATGAACGTCCTCACTGCATAAAGACCTTCACGTTGATGTAGATGGATGGATGTGAGTCGTGGGCAATTTACATATACATGCCCTTGCGTTGCTGCATCCACCCGCCTCGGAAATTGCATTCGCCCTCACCAAATAAATGCCTTCATGTTGTTGTAGATGGATCGCCCCTCCGCCACTCCTGGTAAATGAGGCACATGACTAGAATGACTAAATACCTGGTCTCACTGCATGTGTCCACTCACCGGATGAATGCCTTCATGTTGTTGTAGATGGACCGCCCCTCCGCCACTCCTGGTAAATGAGGCACATGACTAGAATGACTAAATACCTGGTCTCACTGCAAGTATCCACTCACCGGATGAAGGCCTTCATGTTGTTGTAGATGGATCGCCCCTCCGCCACTGCTAGAGATGAGACGATTACTTAGGCCCCTCAAAAACCGTATTAACGTCCTCACCAAATGAGCGTGCTCACCGAATGAAGGCCTTCATGTTGTTGTAGATGGATCGCCCCTCCGCCACGGCAGCCACGATGGTGCTGAAGTTGTCGTCCGCCAACACCATGTCCGCTGCCTCCTTCGCTACCTGCAGGGGAATGGGAAGTGGGTGGGGGTAGGAAGAGGGAAGAGGAGGGGGGGTTGAGAGGAATGAACGGATGAGGGTAGGTAGGACCAAGTCTGACTGCAGCCACGATGGTGCTCAAGTTGTCACCCGCTCCGCCAGCACCATGTCCCACGCCTCCTTCGCCACCTGCAGGTGAATGGAGCAGCGGATCGGAAGTAGGTAGGTAGGATGGGAAGAGAGGAGTCAACACATGAGGGTGCAAGCAAGTGAATGCAGCCACAATTGTACTCAAGTTGTCGTCCGCCAGGACCATATCTGATGCCTCCTTTGCTACCTGAGGTGTGGAGGAAATGAGGGCTTATGTGAATGGTGAGTCACCGCCTTGCTCAAGTTGTTTGTGTGCCTACACCATTTAGTTTTGAGACGTCTCATTTTGAGACGTCTCAAAAAAAGAGGGCTCAAGTGAATGGTGAGTCACCGCCTTGCTGAAGTTGTTTGTCTGCCTATACCATGTCCGATGCCTCCTTCGCCCCCTGCAGGTGAACGGAAAGAGGTTAAAAAAAATCAAGCGACGAGGGAGGCGATTGAGTCTCGCTGGTGCTCAAGTTGTCGTGTGCCTACACCATGTCTGATGCCTCCTTTGCCATCTGAGGTGTGGGGGAAAAGAGGGCTCAAGTGAATGGTGAGTCACCGCCGTGCTGAAGTTGTTTGTCTGCCTATACCATATCCGATGCCTCCTTCGCCACCTGCAGGTGAACGGAAAGGGGTTCAATGAAATCAAACGACGAGGGTTCAAGTGTTGGAGCCACGCTGGTGCTCAAGTTGTCGTGTCCCTACACCATGTTCGATGCCTCCTTCGCCACCTGGCACAATGGGAAGGTGGAGAGGGTAGGGTAAGTAGGACAAGTGATGAATTCAAAGCAAGGACAGCAGCGGAGGGCGTAATCATCTGCCAGGGCCACGCCTTATGCCTCCTTATCTAACTGAGACTACATTACTACCGCAGGGGATTGAGCACAGGGAACAGCATGCATTATCGCAGGTTGAACAAGAAGGCGAAACAAGAACTGAAAGTACAAGGGGATCTGGAATGGACAACGTACTAGCCCCAATGTTACCCACCTCGGTGCCGGCAATGCCCATGGCGATGCCAATATCAGCCAGCTTGAGAGCCGGGGCATCGTTTACCCCATGCCCCAGCTATGAGCCCATCACACTTCCCGAGCCAACTCACCAACCACAGCACCACCCACCTCAGTGCCGGCAATGCCCATGGCGATGCCAATATCAGCCAGCTTCAGAGCAGGGGCGTCGTTCACGCCATCCCCCGTCATGGCCACCACCTCGCCCTGCTCCTTGAGCATGCGCACTATCTCCTGCTTGTGCCTTGGTTCCGCACGTGAGAACACCTTCCCTCCCGGCACCTGCAGGAAGGGAGAAACACAAGAGATGGGTTGTGAGCTGTGTGAATACCACGTGCATTACCAGCTCAGACGCCAGTCACAGCCACCACCTTGCCCTGCTCCTTGAGCATGCGCACTATCTCCTGCTTGTGCCGCGGCTCCGCGCTGGAAAACACCTTGCCCCCAGGCACCTGCAGGGAACGAGGGTACACAGGGGAAACAGGGGATGGGAGTGAATGTGTGAATGTCACGGGCATTACTGACATATGCGCCAATCATAACCACCAACATATAAAAATGCGCCTCACTTTGGTGCAAATTTCTCTGCCCATCCGTACCTTGAGAATCTCCATCCTGGTAGCAACAGGCAGGTCCATGAAGTCCTTGCCCGTGAAGCTGCAACGGCTGAGATCGTCCGATGGGCCCAGCACGCCGATCTCACGGCAGATAGCCTCCGCTGTGTTCTTGTTGTCGCCCGTTATCACCATCACCCTTATGCCCGCCGCCCGACAATCCTCCACTGCTGCTGGCACCTCCTCCCTTGGGGGGTCCTGGGGGGTGGTTATAGGACGGGTAGTTACAACACATGGTTATCGCCTCTGCTGTGTTCTTGTTGTCACCCGTTATCACCATCACTCTTATGCCCGCCGCCCGACAATCCTCCACTGCTGCTGGTACCTCCTCTCGAGGTGGGTCCTGAGGGGTGGAAGACGGGAAGGAGAAAGCAGAAGATTCTGTTTAGCCCTCCCATCAGCAACTGGTAGAATGACTTTTGAGTCGACTCAAAAGGCAACTGGTAGAATGACTTTTGAGTCGACTCAAAAGGCAAATGGTAGAATGCCAGCACAAGAGTGCAGTGCAGTGCAGCACTCACAGAGCCTCACTCCCTCCCTCCCTCATCCCTGCAGATCATCCTGACTACACTTCATCCTCATCCATGCAGCTTACCCTGCTCCCACTCAACCTCATCCCCACGGTTCGCCCTGGCTCCTTAAACCCTCACCCCTCCCTCTCACCCATGCCGCAGAACACCAGTCCCTGCTCGATCCTCTCGTAGTTCCCCGGATCCAGCAGCATGCCATGCCCCTCGTGCTGCTCCCCGCCTCTTGACCTCATTCATCCCTGCACATCACCCTGCTCTCACTTCACATGCACTCACCCGTAGTCCCACCATCCCGCAGAACACCAGTCCCTGCTCAATCCGTTCGTAATTCCCCGGATCCAGCAGCAGCTTGTGCCCCTCGTGCTGCTCTCCGCTGTACCCCTGCAGCGCCCCCATCGCCTGCCCCTCCTTGAACGCGAACGCCAGGCACCTCAGCGCCTTGGACGCCATGTCGGTCAGGACGGCCTCTGTGGCTCTGCGGCCCTCGGAAGTGAGCGGCACTATGGAGCCGTCTGCGAGTTGGATGGACGTGCAGCGCTCCAACACTGACTCCACTGCTCCCTGTGGATAGGGAGGCATGGAGGGGAGGAGGGGGGCACACCAATGGACATGGATTTCAAGGCTCCGAGGTGAGCGGGACTATGGAGCCATCTGCGAGTTGGATGGATGTGCAGCGCTCGAACACTGATTCCACTGCTCCCTGTGGATAGGGAGGCATGTAGAGGGGGCACGGAGAGACAAGGAGGGACAACACTGCCTGGTTGGTTGGTTGGTTCGTTCGTTGGTGGCTATGGGCAAACTCCAGCACCACCTTCCCCTCCCACGGCCTACTGTATGCATTCATTATAGCTGCATTGAGTCAAGATTCCTAACGCCAATGCTCACCTTCACAAGTAGGCGAGTCTTCCCTTGGCTGCTCCTCACAATCACGCTCATGGACTTGCGGCTCCGATCAAACTCCAACACCGCCTTCCTCTCCCACTGCTTGCCCCACCACTCGTTGGCGTCTGCCATGGAACGTGGCAGGGAAATGAGGAGATAGTGAGGGGAGAAATGGGTAATGGTAGTGAGATGGTTCCAGCTGGTCTATTTTGCAACACCGCCTTCCTCTCCCACTGCCTTCCTCTCCCACTGCCTGCCCCACCACTCAATGGCACCTACAGTGGGACAAGGCAGGGGAGTGGGGCATAAAGTCTAGCAAAGTGGGACCATGGTTCCTGATGCATCAATCCCCAAACATGCCCTTTCTCTCCCTCTGTGAACCTAGTCAGCAGAGCTGAGCCTGCCATCAGTGTAGCAGGGCCATTCCTCGTGGACCTATCAGGCACGTGAGCACTACGCACACTCTGGGGGCATGCAATTGCTAGGTGCCCATCACGTACGCACCTAGCAAGTGCGTGCCAGGCGCCCATTTCCACTAATTCCGATTGCTATTAAAGACGTCACAAAAGCCACAGCGCACCTAGCAGGTGCGAGGCAGGGGCGCCCTTCCGCTTATTCCGAATGCTCAGCTGCATCGTGTCATCCGGCACACCAATCTTCTCCACCAGCACTCGCAGCGCCGCCTCTGTGGGCAACCCCGACGCCCTGTGCACGCCTCCCTTGAGCGCTATGCTCGCGTCGTTGCACAGGACAGCGGCTTGAGTGAGAGACTGCATGTTGGGAAAGGTGACTGAGCGCCCCCAGTTGATTATTTCCCCGTCGGCTGGGTTGTAGGAGGTTCCGTCGACGGCGAAGGAGAGGAAGGTGGAGGGGAGAGTGCCTGGGAGGACCAGGGTTGACACTGCCATCTGATGGGATGAGTGGGTGAACGAAAGTGGGGGTTGGGGCACATGGGGTTGAAGGTGGGAAGGCAGAGATAAGACGACGTTTTATACTTGGACTATGGAAGTCAAAGATGCTTGACGGCTTCTATCCAGAGAACAGATAGTCGGATACTTTTCAAAGGGGTAATTCAATTTAAACGTCTGGCCATCCTTCTTATTAGATCACAGTAGTACACCAAGCGTCTCCACAGAAGGAAGCTTCCTCACAATCGCGTTCTTCGCCTCATTCCCAGAGCCAGGCACGTCGTGATCACAATATATACGAGACTTACTGAGCTCGAAGGTGCTGGATTCGATCCAAGGAGCAGTTAGACGGACTCCCTTTGAAGAGAACAACCAGACGTCTGGCCATCCTCGTTATTAGCCTTACCTGGTTGGTGGTCAGAGTGCCAGTCTTATCGGAGCAGATCACAGTGGTGCAACCCAGCGTCTCCACAGAAGGAAGCTTCCTCACGATCGCATTCTTCTGGGCCATCTTCCTCGTACCCAGAGCCAGGCACGTCGTAATCACAGCAGGTAACCCCTCCGGAATCGCCGCCACTGCCAGCGCCACCGCAATCTTAAAATAGTAAGTGCATTTCTGGAAAGAGAAGGTGAATCTCAGCCCCCCGGTCCACCAGGCGGTCGGATCCTCCTTCCAGGAGAGGAAAAACTTGTAGTTGATGAGCCAGACGAGCAGGCAGATCACCCCGATGACTGTGGTCAGCCGCTCTCCGAACTCATCTAGCTTTTTCTTCAGGGGTGTGTCGTCCTCTTCCGCAGCTGCTGCTGCGATCTGCTGCTGAATCTTGCCGATCTCTGTGTTCATGCCCGTGGCTATGACCAGGTTGCGGCTGGAGCCGTTGACCACTGTGGTGCCCGCGAACACCATGCTCTCCTTGGCCTGGCGGGATGGGGAGGGAGGGAGCACGCGGGGATGCACGGTGTGAGGCAAGGCATCTGCTGCTGGATCTTGCCGATCTCCGTGTTCATGCCCGTGGCTACCATTAGGTTGCGGCTGGACCCGTTAAGTCGTTGACCACTGTGGTGCCTGCGAACAAGCATAGCCCCTCCTCTCCCTCACCTGCAGCAGTCCTGCTGCTGAACCTCATTCGCCGACTTCTGTGCTTGCTTCTAGCAGCTTCACATTCTCAGAAATCATTCAGACATTGATCGCATAACCCCGACGCCCCATCACCTGCAGCTCGAAATCCGCCTGCTGAACCTCATTTGCCGACTTCTGTGCTTGCATCACTTCTAAGCATATGCTGCTGCATGATTCCCACTCGCCCTCACCTGCAGCTCGCAATCCGCCTGCTGAACCTCATTCGCCGACTTCTGCACAGCCATGCTCTCGCCTGTCAGCGACGCCTGCTCCAGTCTCAGCGTTGAAGTGAGGAGGCGTATAACGCGCATGTCTGCAGGCACCTTGTCCCCCACCCGCAGCTCCACTATATCGCCCGGCACCAGCTCGCGTGCTGGCAGGTCGTCCATGTGCTCCCCCGCCCTCACCACCTTGGCTGTCTCGGACTGGGAGGAGGGGGCCAGGGGTATGGGGAACGATGTAAGGGTTGAAAAGGGTTGAAAAGGCTGACTCATCGCAGCTCCACTATATCGCCCGGCACCAGCTCGCGTGCTGGCAGGTCGTCCATGTGCTCCCCCGCCCTCACCACCTTGGCTGTCTCGGACTGGAAGGAGGGGGCCAGGGGTATGGGGAACGATGTAAGGGTTGAAAAGGGTTGAAAAGGCTGACTCATCGCAGCTCCACTATATCGCCCGGCACCAGCTCGCGTGCTGGCAGGTCGTCCATGTGCTCCCCCGCCCTCACCACCTTGGCTGTCTCGGACTGGGAGGTAGAATCGAGGGGGATGGGGACTGATGATAAGGTTGGAAAGCGAGGTGGTTCACATGATTCACGTGCTGACAACTGTCACATGCTGTCACGGTGGCCCATGTCTCTGCTGTGTCGGACTGAGGAGAGGGTGAGAGCGATGAGAGAGAGAAGAGGGAGGTAAGACGACAATAAAATGGTGGAGGAAACGCGGGGTCGTCTAAACCCTGAACCTTATTAGGGGTTAGACCAACTGAGATTCAGGGTTTATCGCAGCAGTGCTCGTGGCAAATGGACTCGGTAGCTGCAAGCCTGTGAAGCCTGTCATCGTGCTTCTGATCCACAGGTCACAAACTACCTACCTGCATGTCTTTAAGCGCCTCTAGCGCGCGCTCGGCGTTGCTCTCCTGCCACACGCCCACGCAGGCGTTGAGCACGAGGATGAGCAGAATGACCAGCGGCTCCACATATGCCGTTATCCCGCCATCCTCCTGAGAAAACAACGGGAGGAAAGGCGGAGGCACGAAAGAACACGAAAAGGGAGGCACGGGGAGATGATTGTTGAGACGTCTTACAAATCGAGGATGAGCAGAATAACCAGCGGCTCCACGTATGCCGTTATCCCGCCGTCCTCCTGATGATGAACATGAGTAATGGCGCAACGAGGATGAGAAAGAGAAACGGGAGGAGAGGTAAAGTAGCAGCTTGTTGTGAACGAAGATGAGCAGAATAACCAGCAGCTCCACGTACGCCGTGATCCCGCCGTCCTCCTGATCATCAACATGCGGAACGGCAGAAGGGAAACGGGAGAGGAGATAAAGCAGGAACTTGTTTGAAAGTTGAAACGAGGATGAGCAGAATGACCAGCGGCTCCACATACGCCGTTATCCCGCCGTCCTCCTGAGAATTTACATGAAAAATCGCGCAGGCAGGGAGGGACGCAAGAGAAGGAAGCAGCGGGGGATGCAGGTAAAAAAGAACGAGAAACGAGAGGACAGATACCGTAGCAAGAGGCTTGAATGGAGGCCAAGGGACAACAGCAGGAAGAGAACGCGTTGAGCACTGAAATTCTCTCACTCCACAACTAGACGGCCGAAAGCTGGGAGAGGACAGAACCGTGAGAGGCACAGGGTAAGGCCGAGGGGAGCACGGAAGGAGGGATGCACGGAGCAACGGACAGCACAAGAGCACGAAACGTCAGCAACGACCTGAAGACGGAGACTCGGCAGGATTCCCGCGAAAAAAAACCAAACGGGGTGTCGATCCGTAGAGCTACGGAAGGGTCGCGTGAAGTGAGAGGGGACCCGCAAAGGACGAAGTCGATTTGACCGCAATCGGATGACACATCCGATCCGCTCGGCCGACTATGTCCGTTTCAAGAATCGGAGCAACTCAATCTACGCGGCTGCTTGTTCACGTAAGCAATCGAATCGGATTTCTCAAGCAAGAGAACTTTGAAACACAATGAATGAATTATCCGCTCACCTGCTCGTCCACGTAAGCGAGAACGAACGAGACGGCAGCAGCGGCGAGAAGGATCTTGACGAGCGTGTCGTTAAACTGATCTACCACCAGCTTCCAGAACGGCGTGCCGGGTTCCTTTTCCAACTCGTTGAACCCGAATCGGCTTCGTCGCCACGCGACATCCTGGGGATCTAGGCCCTTCTCTGCATCCACCTGGTACCGATCTAAACACTCCTGCACCGAATGCGACCACGCTGGAAACGTGCTTTCGGGTATGGATCCCAGATTAGACGACATCGTTACAGGCAAGCGCGGTAACGAACGGAATCAACAATCTGGCCGAACACACGCACTTATTAACTACGAGGGAGATCGCGCCGTCTGACTACGGCCTGCAACGTCCCTCACGCGCTGTGCCTGGTGTTCCTGGACTCCCTCACACAGCAGCTGACATCAGCTGAGTTCGAACGGCCTTGAGATTGGAACTTCGGATTCGGGCAAAAACGGGGAGAGAGCTTGCTGAGCCAGCAGTGATCAGATCGGGTGCAGGTGCGAGGAAGGTGGTGCTCTCGCTGGTACTGTAGCCTCGGGAATGCACAAATCTCGGGACATTTCAGTCTTCTGAAATGGACGCCCCAGATTTGTTGGAAGAATCGCCAAGCAACAACAACTGTGACATCATGGAAAAGGCCTATTGTGAGTTCGTCTTTATAGATTCCCACTTCACTTCGCACTTCATCATTTGGTTAAAAATCAACAGTTATTTCGGGGAATTACAGTGATTTATCAGAGCAATTATGCATTCTTGGCTGATTGCCCAACGATTCTGATTTTCCAGCCCTCCTCAAGCCAATTCTGGGGCCATATAGTGTGATTATCAAACAAGTTGTACACCTCAAAGCTGCACCCCAGTTTTCAATTCAACCAGCTGAGTTGGCCTAGCTAGCTGTTATGCCCAACCTAAGAAAGCTCTGTCCTCTTTAGTGGACACCACACGAGTTTGAAGGCACAATTGCTAAGATAAAAGTTGCCAAGACACAAGTTCCTCCCTCATTCTAGACAAGATACCTAAGAGGGCAGTATGAACCGAATCGCATGGAAAGAAATATCATAAACAAAAAAGCTGGTTTGTATCTTTGCAGCAGATCAGCCAGATACGCCCTGGTGTGTGCTTCAGGCCTTGGGCTTGGAGGGAGGGCCCTCAACGGACTTGATGAGCTCAGCAGTCTTCTCTTGCACTTGGCTGACCACCGGCCCTGCCGCCTCCCTCGCCTTCTCCATCGACTCACCCACTTGGCTTACAACCGGCCCTGCAACGTCCCTCACCTTGTTCACCTGCTCCTCCATTTGCGACACCATAGGCTCGGTGAGCTCCTTCACCCTCTCCACTGCTTGCTCCGCCACAGGCTTGGCGGCTTCATAGGCTGCCTCGGCAACAGGCTTGGCGGCTTCCAGGGCTGCCTCGGCGACAGGCTTGGCAGCGTCGATCGCAGCTTCAGCGTATGGCTTGGCGGTCTCAGCGAACTCCTGAGTGGCCTCCCATGTCTGTGGTGGGCGATTGCATGGGGGGAAAGGTTGGGATGGGGAGCTGTTAGTTTGAAGGAAAGATAAGGCAGGTGGGTAAAAGCACTGATGGGGGCAGAACACTCATCATGCAGCATGTCAGGACACACATGGCACATATCACCGCCCCAACATTGTTTACCATCAACACAGACATTTCACGCGTCGTATCAGCACACACATGGCACACGTTAGCACACCCCCAGCTCACAAGCGGCACAGGGGAGGGAGGAGAGGCGTACCGCTTCAGCGAAGGGGATGACGACGTCGTCCACGATGGGCACCACAAAGTCCTTCACCTCCTCCAGCGTCTGCTCAACTCACAGCAGAGACACGGGGAATATCGGGGGGAGTTGAGAAGGTGGGCAGTGTGATTGTGAGATGGCTGGATCAGGCAAGGGGTCACTGCACAGCCGCGTCCTTCACCTCCTCGAGCGTGTGCTCCACCACGGGGGCAAGGAAAACCAGGCGGGGGGGAGGGCGGAGGGAAGGCAGGAGGTGTGATCGTGAGATGGTCGGATTAGGCAAGAGATTGCTTCATAGCAGCACGCCCTGCACCTCCCAAGGGGTTGAAGGCCGACACGTGAGGAGGAGTAAGGGGTGATGGGTGCTGGGTGATGGGTGAAGAGTGAGGAGTGAAAGGGCGAAAATGAGGGTTGGGGGGGGGGAACTAGGGCGTAGGGCGAGGGGCGAGTGGCAAGGGGCGCGGGACGGGGAATGGGAAGAACGGCCCTCCTTAGGGTTCTGTTGGCAGAGGGTTGAGAAGAGAAGATAGTTTACACCAGTCCACTCATCGTTCAATCCAGAATAGTCCAACAAGGGGCTACACTAACACAGGCTCAAGTAGCTTAAGCTCCCTCTCAGCTCCTCTCAGCTCCTCTCGGCTCCTCTCGGCTCCTCTCGGCTCCTCTCGGCTCCTCTCGGCTCCTCTCGGCTCCTCTCGGCTCCTCCCTCTCGGCTCCTCCCTCTCGGCTCCTCCCTCTCGGCTCCTCCCTCTCGGCTCCTCCCTCTCGGCTCCTCCCTCTCGGCTCCTCCCTCTCGGCTCCTCCCTCTCGGCTCCTCCCTCTCGGCTCCTCCCTCTCGGCTCCTCCCTCTCGGCTCCTCCCTCTCGGCTCCTCCCTCTCGGCTCCTCCCTCTCGGCTCCTCCCTCTCGGCTCCTCCCTCTCGGCTCCTCCCTCTCGGCTCCTCCCTCTCGGCTCCTCCCTCTCGGCTCCTCCCTCTCGGCTCCTCCCTCTCGGCTCCTCCCTCTCGGCTCCTCCCTCTCGGCTCCTCCCTCTCGGCTCCTCCCTCTCGGCTCCTCCCTCTCGGCTCCTCCCTCTCGGCTCCTCCCTCTCGGCTCCTCCCTCTCGGCTCCTCCCTCTCGGCTCCTCCCTCTCGGCTCCTCCCTCTCGGCTCCTCCCTCTCGGCTCCTCCCTCTCGGCTCCTCCCTCTCGGCTCCTCCCTCTCGGCTCCTCCCTCTCGGCTCCTCCCTCTCGGCTCCTCCCTCTCGGCTCCTCCCTCTCGGCTCCTCCCTCTCGGCTCCTCCCTCTCGGCTCCTCCCTCTCGGCTCCTCCCTCTCGGCTCCTCCCTCTCGGCTCCTCCCTCTCGGCTCCTCCCTCTCGGCTCCTCCCTCTCGGCTCCTCCCTCTCGGCTCCTCCCTCTCGGCTCCTCTCGGCTCCTCTCGGCTCCTCTCGGCTCCTCTCGGCTCCTCTCGGCTCCTCTCGGCTCCTCTCGGCTCCTCTCGGCTCCTCTCGGCTCCTTGACTAATCCAAACGATGCTGCACTGGCATGGGCTACCTCCCTCTCACCTCCTCGATCTCCTTCCACTTCTCATCCGGCAGCACGAAAAGCGCGGCGATGCCGCCGCTGAACGCGGCGAGCACGCCGAATTGCGAGACGAAGAGCGGCAAGCCGCCGCGCTTGCTCTTCTTCACCTTCTGCTGCTTCACATCCTTCACGGGCGGCGCCATTGTGCTCGACGGCTTCAGCTCCGGCTGGAAGAAGGGAGGCAGCATGCAGTGGGGTGGGAGGAGTGGGTTAGACTTGAACATACGAATGACGAAACGTGCGTTTGTAGTGGCTAATGAAACCGATGCCTTCGATGCACGGGAGAGAATCATCAGACAGCTCTCAGACACGCGATTTCATTCGCCTATGGGGAAAAAAATCCATTCGTTGCGACGTAAGTGGAGGTTGTACTGGGATTGTGTGAGCTCTTGGTGAGCGGCAGTTGACACGTCACCCTCGACGACTTTCAATTCGCGAGAAAATGCCGATTCGGCGGGATACAAGCGAGATATTTTCGATAACGCAGCGGCATCCGCGCGGGGCAGTACTCAGGGTCGCGGTAGGTGGATCAGTTGCCAACACAATGACACGCTTCGACTCGTCCATAGAAGCTCGTCAGCATGGCATCTTCATCTCGCTCCCTGACCGAGGGTGCAAGTTCTGGACTTAAAGACCCCTTGCAGAAGATTCATCCAAACCCCCCTCGCCTTCGCAATAGCTTCTGAGCCACTCACCTTAACGAAGAGCCTCTGCGCCTGGATCTTCTCCTCCGCGAATCTCCGCGCGGCCTCCTCCTCCGCCGCCTTCTTCTCCGCCTCTGCGCGCGCCGCAGCTACGATCGCCTCCTGCTCCTCGCGCTTCTTGCGCAGCAGCTCGCCCAACCGCCGGGCCCGCTCCTCAGGCTGGTGGAAGAAAGACGGCGAAATACGAAAGAGCGCGCAGCACTTAGACGACAGCGGAAGATCCGATACACGTGATCCGATACACGCGAGCACGTCTCGTCAGAATGCATCATTTCCTCTTGTCTCAGAATTTCTTACGACGACAGGAAGCCAGAGAATGATGGGCATGAGTAGAAACGACCGACATTGCGACTCAAAAGAGATTGACAGACAGATGAAAAGGCGCGAATTTGTTGAGTGGGGTTTGAATAAGGTGGGGTTGAATGCTTACCGTGTTTAAAGCGGCCTCATCCACTACAGCGACCTCCTGTACAAGCACGAGAGGGCAGCACGAATGGAAATCGGCGTGAACTCATTGGTTTCGAGAGTGACAATGAGCTTCGGTGATTGGGGTGGGGACGTCGACAGGATGCAACGAGAATCCACGTAACATGGAGGAGCGACACGGCTGGATCACAGGAATGGCTTGGAGACAGAAAGGGAGCGACCCATGGAACCTAGGAAAATCCTTGGAGAAATGAAGCGGCCATATGGGAGAATGGAGGGGATGCGAGTCTCATGGATGATGTACCTCTGCTTGAGCGGCGGCGACGCCACCAGTAAGGAGATAGCTCTGCATGGCGTCAGCTGTAGGCGCGATACCCATCACGGTCGCGGCTGCCAGAAAGCCGAGAGAACGGAAACAGGACTATGTGAATATCGAGTTGATTTGTGAATCTGTAACACCGTTTCGTTCCCTACATTCTCAGTAGCCAGCTAGCGAGCGTAAAAGAACTGGAAAAGTCTGGGAAAAAATACGTCATTGATGCTGGTAGCTCACCGAAGATCGCGGAGGACAGAGCGGGAACGACGGCTCTCGCGAGCTGCGCGGCGAAGGAGGGCGTCGCATTCTTATTGTCGCCATCGGCACGGCATGACACGCTCGTTGCGACGGCCTTTCTGGCGGGAGCGGCGATGGAGACGGTCACTGGTTGGCCCTTGAACACCGTCTGATCGGCGAGGGCGAGCCGGGAATCGACGGCTAGCGAAGCGGCGGTGTTGAGAGCCGACATGGTTGCGTGCGGT